TTTCCGTAGGCCGGAGTGCACCCCAGGTCGTCCCTCACTTTTCAAAAATGCAATCTGTCCACTGGTTGTTCTCCGTACCCTTTTTTTGATCGGCTTCAGCTCTGCGATCTTAAGAGATCTTTGAAGGACGGAAGTAGAACAAACAGTGCGGTTACACGTATAACAAACGATGAGAAAACCAGAATACAAAACATGGACATAATTGCCGAAGTTCTCCTGAGGATCAACCAATGTCATTGTAAATTCAATGCAAAAGTGTTTCCAAAAACAAGCCCGATTATGCATCTCGACAACATGGTTGCGACAAGTTTCTTTAACTGTGACAGATGTATTTACCTTAAGAGCCTGATGCGGGACAACACTGCGAAACAATCCGATAAAACACTCTTAATGTTGTTAAGTGTATTCTTTTTATTGTTCTGAACTGTCCAAACACATGTGGGATTCACAATGACAGCATCAGTATTTACTGATTAATTCCATTTCACCAATTGCACTCAATTTCTTTTCCATACACAATAGAAAGCTGCGCATTTATTTGAAACGCGGTTTTCTTGAAAATGCGCTGAAGAGACGAACACGATGAAGTAAAACCTTCAATTATATATATATATATTATCATGTCCCTTTAACATAAAGTATGGTTTAATGGTGTAAGATGTAACATTAACAAGGTGGCACGTCTTCTCGTGACCGCTGCAACTTTACACTCGCAAAATTGATTCGGGAGTTCGTAATGTGCAAAAACATGTTTTTTAGATTTCCATGTCAAGGGTTTTTTTGGACAGGGGCTAAAACACCGAGACGAGTCAACTTTTGGAGCGACGCTATAGCGAAAAGCACATTTTGAAAGCGGGAAAAAACGCAACTTTTGGGAGGAGTAGAAAAGCATGGTTTCAAACCTATAAGCTTTGTGAACAGTCAAGAGGGCTTCATCTGACTTTTTTTCTCATAATGATGGATGTAGCATACCATAGCCATTAGCCACAACTCTCTACCCGTGGTTTGAATTGAAGCATGGAGAGAGGGCCCAAATACTGCAAATACTGCTTGCTAAGGACCATTTGGGGTTAGAAGCATAAAGAGCGGGCCCAAACACTACTTGCTTAGAATTATTTGGGGTTTGAAGCAGAAAGAGAAGGATTTGCTACTGACTATTTGGGGTTTGAAGCATCAAGAGAGGGCACAATGGGCCCAGATTCTACTTGCTAAGGACTATTTTTGGTTTGAGGCAGAAAGAGAGGGCCCAACCACTACTTGCTAAGCGCTATTTGGGTTTTGAAACATGAAGACAGGGCCCAAATACGACTTGCTAAGGACTATTTAACTATTTGGGATTTGAAGCATCAAGACAGGGCCCAAATACTACTTGCTAAGGACCATTTAACTATTTGGGGTTCGAAGCATAAAGAGAGGGCCCAAATACGAAACCGACTGTTCGATTTCGAACCTACAGAAGGTGCCAGAAAATGATATCTGGTTTTTGGGAGGCTATCATCAAACCATGCATGCACGAAAGTTATTATCCTCGTAGCACGGACGCACTTCTGAACATGTCCGTGCAAATTGCACGAACGTTATTCTCCCGGTAGCATGGACGCACATGGTTGCATTGCTGAGCATTTTTCATTCTTTTTCTGAAAATCACTTACTTGGTGTTGAGTGTCTATGATCTTTTTCAGTGCCACCGGACTGTATTCCTCATAACAACGCTGTTAGTTTTCCACCTCTAATTTCATTACATCGCGTATGTATTCTCTGACAGCTGTCCCAGTGTTGTCTGCCTGAACACTGGGCGAAAAAATATAGATATGCGTTAAAATGATATTCTGTAGAGTTTCCATATTTAGTTTGGAATCAATACTGTTTTACAAACTATGACTAACATTTGGGCTGGTAGCTTTGGCATCATGTCGTATTTTTTGTGCGTGCATGTCTATTGGTTCCACTTTCAGAATTATAATCTAGACTATACAATAAGATGAAGGATGATGCATGTATTGATGCAATAGATAATTTGGAAAAAAAAGAACGGGTCATGATTAGGGACAGGTTACGCCGAAGGTGTTGTCACTCACTACTGAAATTTCAGAAGGGGTTCTACAATATTTAAAGTTGAAGAAAAAGATCTACTAGAATATAAACGTCCCATAAAGAAGATAATGATAACAACGATGGTTGCATTCAATTAAACAAAGATGGATTTTTTCGCTTTGTTGTAGATGTAAGCGTAACACATGACACAAGGCGACAAAGACAATAACCAATAAAGATAATGCGACGGTGGTTAACATTATTGAGGATCATAGTAGCTTCCGCATGATCGCGGGGTTCCCCAGATGGTCACAACATATTTAAAACAAATGAACCTCCCATTCAATAAGGAGACGTGGCAATAGCTGATAACGTATGGGAACGAAAGATATCTTCAGAAGAAGGCACTGACAGAACTGAGAAATTAGAGAAGCAGGTACGTAGAAGAGCTGACAAGCCTTCAGAGAATCAGCTGTATGGACTCAGAAATATTTAGCTTATTATGACAGGCCAGTTAGGCAATACCCCAATTGAAGCAGAAACAACAGCCCCCTTAATGTTCTGATGTTTCATCAGCACACCATAAGCGTGTGGAAATGAATTCTGTTTTTAATTCATCTCATGTCGATTTCATCGGCATGCGCTAATTTCTTCGCGAATTCTTTTCGTGAAAGCTTAAGAAACCAGAACCCTTTCATAATCCTGTTTTATCAAAGTGTATATCATAATGCCAGTAACAGTATATAAGATATTTGTTGATTTTGGACCATATAGTCAACCAGATACAAGCCTTACTAGGAAGTGTTATCGTTGTAAACAAGTCAAACACATTTGTTGTTTCAAACGATCATACTACGTTGGTAGACATTTTTATTGTTATGTAAAATTGCTTTAGTTTCTTTTGAATATGTGGACGCTGGGCGGGACACACATTTAAAGAAATGACATCAATTCGTATTGAGTAATGGAAGCAAGAAAATACTGTAGCAAAGGTCAGACAATGCAGAAGCTTGAGAAATTCCAAGAGAATTAGAAGACTTGCAATGTGTGTAGAGAAAAAGCGAGAAGATAAGATCAAACAGGTAGACAACAAATCGCAGAACCAAACGTAAGAAACCATAGCACAAAATCCCCAAAAAAGGTGAGGAATGGAGTCGGAATCCTTTGAACAGAATACAAGACAAAGTTGTTACATTTCCTGTGCAGTTACGAAGTAAAGAAAGACAAACAAGCTCAACACAACAAGTTGCAAGAGCATCAGTGTTTCTCGCAGAAGTTAAGTGATCCAGATTTTGATAAAGATGCTCCCAAACCAGACAAGATGAAAGAAAACAACTGCAAAGAACATTGTTGTTGTAACGAAGGGCTTGACGTTCTTGCTTCTTACCTCAGATTAACAAACCACCGCATTCAACACCAGTAGCTGAAAAATCATATTGTAAATATTTACAACCTGTTATATATCATGTTTACATAGTTAACCCCAAAACCTGAACCAAATTCTACAAACCCCTCCCTGCTTACTTCGAGCCATGGCACCTAGGTAGATATGGGTATTGGGTTCTAGAGTGTGACCAGGTATTGGGCCAAGTATTTGGGGCTGGGTGGTGCCCTAGTCCAAGAAAGGCGAAGGGGGTTCGAACTAAATGTACTGCAGTTGCTTATTCTTCATGAGTGGCTGTGATCAGGGAAGAGGCGCTGGATGTAGCTATGGGCCCACGCTTTGCGGAGCTTGTCGAGCGATCTTTCAAGTCCGCGGCTTGGAGATCAGGGAGATCAGCTGCATGATGCCCAGGGTGGTAGAACAGCTTATGAGCCAGGTGAGATCACACCTTGCAGGAAGCTGCACAGTTTTTGTAGCCGGAAAGTACACCAGAGTGTTCAGAAGGCCGAACATGCTGTTCAGTCTTGAGTGTGAGAATCCTCTCCAAGGCAGGCCGAGGCTGGATTCTACCAGCTGGGCAGGCCATTTGACGAGACGATTAGGGATTCAAGTGGCTCTTTCAGGATTTGTTTTCGTCATCTCTCATGGTCGCTCCAGGCTTGCACCACGTCTTGCAGGACTTCGATGGTAAGGGGCTGAGTCTTCTTTGAGTCTCAGGACTTAAAGACTTCATCAGCTGATGCCAAGGCTCAGCTGCATGGCCTGGATCCAGTGCAGAACAAAAGCCGTCATGGAGGCCTGGACTGGTTGAGCCCGCTGTTCAAGACATTTGCAAGTTAGTTGAAGAGGGTGAGTGTGAACACTTCCTTTGAGAATGGACTGGGCTTGTACACTGATCCTGTGGCATCGAGTGAATATAGTGCTTTGCTTCTGAGGCATCCTCCGGTGGTGTGGGGCTGAGAGTCTGTGCCAGGCTGCCAGCCTGGCCTCGCTCAAAGCAAACTTGTGCTTGTGCCCCACTTGTTCAGCGCATTCCATATTCTATCAGCTACATTCCTACATTCCTTAAGCTTTGGTTTGGTGATGAGAGGTGGCAACTGCAGCATACCTACGGCAGCGTCTTCGCATGCAGCATGTGATGAGGCGGCTTGCGGCAGCCACAAGAATGGGTTTGGACATTTTAGTGCGCCGAGAGCGCATGTTGTTTGGGAACGCTGCAGTCTTGAGAGGCTAAGCGCTTCATATTCAAAGCCTTAGACACTGTGGTGTCGGACCGCTGGGGAGCATAGACCTGTCTGTCTCCTTTCTTTTGTAGATTTTGGGACCTGCAGGAGCCCAAGGTGCGTGTCCTTTTTGATTTCGATCTTGTGGGAGAAGGGGTGTCGAGCTCAGGTCGCTCGTGTTTGGTCGGGAACTCTGGGCTCTCATTGCATGACCGCAGGTGTGGCATGGTGGTGGCAAAGAGGAATTACCAGAGGAGAGCAAGGATGAATGGCGCAAGCCTCAGTTTGATCTAATTTCGTTCGGAGCCAGTACCGATTAATCCACATGTGTGAAGGTTCGCTTGCTCCCTCAAAACCTCCTATTCTTCATGATCGACTCAGACATTGCTCCTGACACGCTTAGACATCACTGGACAGGAGATGCGAAGCCATCATTTATGCTCACAGGGTCTGCTGTATGTTCCCAAACTAGCCCAAAGGATTCCTTGATTTGTGTAGGTACATGTGAAAGAGACACGGTATGAAGCTGAAGGGATCTGAATATTTTTTTCCGTTGCTATGATCCAACGCCCCTGGGTACCCAACAGCAGCAGCGGCAGGTCATGGCCTGTCACTACAGCTGCCAGATTTGAACATGGCATCTGGATGTTGCGTTTCAAAGTTGACTGTAAGTAGAATTGTAAGCAAGAACCTCCCTACATGTGTAAAGAGCAAATTCTGCACAAATGAAATCTCCAGGAAGAGAAACTCTATGCATCTCTATGCCATGTGCAAGAAGTAGATGGTGTGAATCTGCGTGAAGTCAAGGCACCGGCGAGCCTGCGAGTTCGATTTGTGCCGAATCTCGCATCAGGCCAGGGATGTGCCGCGGTCTGCGGAGTGCTGGCCTTGAGAAGCTGAGGTTGAGAAAGCACCCCCAGCAGAAGCAAATGCTTCCATACCTCGTCTGCTTCTGATGCAGCCCTACGGTGCCCTCACGTCCTGGTCACGGCTTCTTCATGTGCTCCGTGCATTGCGGTTGCTTGGAGGTACGCCGCACAAACGGCTCCGACTCGCGGAGGCGTTGTTGACCTCGTAAAGGAATCTCCTGGATCTTGTGGCTTCTTCCCTGGCTGCAGGTGCCCCGGATGATTTTGGAACGGCATGACTGGTACACCCAGGCAGATAGCTCGAGGTTTGGCACCGCACATCTCATGTTTCCTGTGCGAGATCGAGAAAATGCCGCTGCTGAATCTTCACTCTAAGTCACCTGTGGTTGGGCCGGAGCCTGAGTGCAGCAGCAGGAATGCCTGCTTTGATTTCATCTTACAGTTCACAAAGTCCGAAGCCCGAGGCCTATTCTTCATATCGAGGTTCCTCCTCCGAGCAATGCTCAATTGACTCGACTCGAAGCACAATGAATCACTGAAGTTCGTGTAGGGGTATTGCTGCAAGGCCTGACTTTGACCTGGACGATCCAGAGGTTGGCACTTGTCGTTTTGGACATGCAGTGTACGTAAGACAGCCGCAAGAGTGACAGAGGGCGTGTCCATGTCTGTCATGCTACCATGCCGCCCTGGCAAAGGAGATGCTTTGATGTGGCTAGCTTTCAACAGACACGTCGTCAGCGCTATAGGGATTCTACATTTGAGAACCTTCCGCGCGTCTTGGAGATTCTTGCAGCACCACAAATGCCGAAGCCGCTGGCAAGCCCCCATGCCTCACATCCCGTGGCAGATCCGAAGTAAAGTCGAGCGTGGGGAGGATCTTGGTAAGGCCCACCAGGAGGCACCTAGCTGCTATGGCCTTTACTGTTTTGTTGAAAGCCAATGGGACCGTCACGGCTGTAGTCGCTGGACAGGATGGCTTGCCCGGTGCTCTTCACGGAAGTTTGGGGCCAGTCTCCCTTGTTTGTAAGGTGTCGGCAGACCACTTACGAGCACTGCAAAGACTTTTCGCACTGTGCCTTAGCCTGACAGGCTCCTCTATGCAGCTATGGCCTTTGAGGAGACCTTCGTTTTAGACCTCCGTGTGTCCTCTGTCCTTGTGCGTCATGTTGCGGTGAAGCATATGATGTGAACACGCATCTTGCGAGGAGGATATCGTCAACGCCATTGGCCCAGAGTTGACAACAACCACAGCTTTGGCCATGAACACTAGTGCAGAGGTGCGATTCCATCCTGGTGGCATTCTGCTTGAAGGTATGATGGAGGCGTAGCAAGCTTGATTGGCAAGAAGTAAACTGCTTGAAATTTTTGATCAAAGTGTGGCAGATGTTTCTCCATTACGGCCCCAAGCTGCGCACCATAAGCTTGGAGGGCAACGCAGGCTTTGTGACGGAGGAGCCTCTGAATGCGGTTTAGCCAGGTCCTTTTTTTTGCGTATGCGTCACCCTGGCGGTGTGTATTTGTGGTGTTCAGGTTTCAACAGAAATCCTCAGTCGTTTCTATTTGCTACAAGATTTGACTAAATATCCTTTAGGCAGATCTCTCTTGGAATTCTGGGACGCTGGGAGATGCTGGGGAAGCTTTAGGATAGCTCTGGGGAAGCTTTGGGATTGGGCGCGCAGCGAAAACAGAAAAACAATAGTTTTTGATTTCGATGCCCTCCCCCCCAGGTCTTGGTCAATCTCAGAGCTTCCTCAGAGCCATTCTGAAGCTTCCCCAGAATCCGTTTATCATGTTCAGACTAGGCACTGAAATTTGAAAGCATCCTTGATTGCGTTGATGCTTACGCAGGAGCAGTCATGCGACTTGCGGCTCAATTCAGCTTTGTTGACCTCGCAGCAAAGTGGGGACTAGGCTGCCCAAGAAAGAAAACAGCGCACAGCGCCAGACCTGTGCGCAGGTGCACATGGAGGCCGAGCCTGGTTCAACTCGCCAGTAGACGCTGTGAAATGAGTTTGCGTTCAGAAGTCACTCATATTCCATTCATATTTTTCGCTTGTGTAGGCCAATGGTTTCGGGCCTTGGCTCGAGGGATCCCTTATGAGCCCTGGCCCTAGTCTATTCTGCATTTTGCCCGTTTCGCAGACCACGCTACGGGATCCCCGTGAGCCGCAGCCCAGGCCCTAGTCTGTTCTGCGCCATAGAGCAGACTACGGGATCCCTCCTAGTCGATCTGCATTTTGCTTTTTTGCAGAAGATTACGGGATCCTCGTGAGCCGCGGCCCTAAACTGTTCTGCTCTTTGGCCTTCCAAGAGCTGTTTTGCAGAATAGACTAGGGGTTCCCCCGCAACCCCCGGCCTATTCGCAACCCCCGGCCTATTCTGCGTTTTGTTTTTCCAGAACCGATTGGCAAAACAGAATACGGGATCCCCTGCAGCCCTGCGGCTCTTTTTGGAGGTTTCGTGCTGTGAAACCCTTGAAATGAGGAACTGCCAGGCTTGGGAGGAGCCTTTGCAGCCTTGCGGTTCTCATTTTGGAGGTTTCAGGCTGCGAAACCTCCCAAGTGAAGAGCCGAAAACGTGGCCTCTGTGCAAACTTCCGAAATGAGGA